AAGCTCCGAATAGCCTTCCTTCGAGATCGACCCGAGTCGGGTAACTCGGTTATCCTTTGCCCATCATTTTTATGCTCAACAATGACACTCCTTCGGTGTTTGACGAGGAGCCCACTGAGACGATCGAGCATCTACATGGGGATGTTGGGACAACTTTAGTACTTCGCCGTTCTTGTTTTGCGCCTCGGATTTTTTCTGATGAGTCTTTCAATGCCATCATCTATTTGAGTCGCCTTGTACCGTGGGAGACCGCATTTGTCGCTTTATTATTGTTTCGGGTTCTTGTGAGAATGTAGTCGCTCAATAGGCAGTTGACAAACTCCGACTTTCCAGTGAGCCGCACCCCCAACCATATACTCTTGTTTGGATTCAGAAAGGCAATGCTGTTACGGTTGACCGGCAAGTCCCGGTGTCTTTTTCCGTTGGAGGATCATATCGAGATCGAGTTTGGTGTGATGTAGTCCCCATGGACGCGTGTAATTTACTACTAGGCCGACCTTGGCAGTTTGACAGGGCAACGATTCACGATGGTCGTCTTAACACCTACAGTTTCACATTTGAGGGTGTTAAGATTGTGTTACACCCATCACCACCTCGATCGATACCGACGTCCACGCCACCTTCACTGATGTTCCTTTCCCGTGAGGCATTTTTAGAAGAGATGCATGCGGCTCCATTGGTGCTACATTTGTTAGGCTCGGATGTATCCCCGGACCAGTCACCTCCGGCAGCCATTCGACCGTTACTAGAGGAACTTTCAGATGTTTTTCCTGAGGCACTACCTTCGGATTACTGCCCTTCGGGACATCCAGCACCAGATTGACTTAGTACCCGCGTCTCTGCCTAATCGTCCGCATTATCGAATGAGTCCAGACGAGTATGAGGAGTTACGACGTCAAGTGGACGAGCTTTTACAGAGGGGTGTCATCAGGCGTAGTCTTAGCCCGTGTGTCGTCCCTGCTTTTATTGATTCCAAAAAAGGATAGCTCCTGGCGCATGTGTGTGGATAGTCAGGCCAATTGGATGATTTGTTGGATTAGTTACATGGCGCCTTCGTCTTCATGAAACTTGATTTGCGCAGTGGATATTATTAAATTTGTATCCGCCTGGTGACGAGTGGAAAACAGCCTTCAAAATTCGTGAAGGCCTCTTCGAGTGGATGGTGATGCCATTTGGACTATCTAATGCGCGAGTACCTTCATGAGAGTTATGAACCAGGCACTTCGTGATCTTATTGGCCGATGTGTCGTCATTTATTTTGACGACATTCTTAAATACAGTGGATCGATGGATGAGCATTTGGTCCACGTGCGAGAGGTCCTTCTGATTCTTCGGGCGGAGTCCTTCTTTGCAGCACCACAAAATGTTTTTTCTAGTTGATTCAGTGCTTTTTCTGGGTTTGTCATTTCGGCCAAAGGCATTCGGGTTGACGAAGCCAAAGTAACGGCAATTCGAGACTGGTCGACAACGACGACTGTTACTGAGCCTCGGAGCTTTCATGGTCTCGTCTCCTTCTATAGGCGTTTCATTTTTCATTTTAGCTCTATCATGATGCATATCGCTGATTTTTTATCCGAAAAAAGTTTCTTGTGGACCCCGCAGGCTTCTAAGGCCTTTGCTCTGATTAAGAGCAAGTTGAGGACCGCTCCAGTCTTAGTGTTGCCCGATTTCTCTCGACCTTTTGAGTTTTCGTGCAACGCTTCAAAGGTCAGTATTGGTGCCGTATTGAGCCAAGATGCACGTCCGATGGCTTTTTTCAATGAGAAGCTTTCTAGCGCTCGCCTACGTTACATCACTTATGATGTCGAGTTATATGCTGTTTATCGAGCTGTGCGTTATTGGCGTCACTATCTTTTCCAGCGGGAGTTCGTACTTTACACCGATCATGAGGCTTTACGCCATATTGCTTCCCAGGACAATATTTTGGCCCGTCATGCCACGTGGACAACATACTTGCAGCAGTTCACATTCGTCTTGAAGCGCAGATCGGGGGCATCTAATTGCGTGGCAGACGCATTGAATCGTCGCTCCTTTTTCTTATCCGACATGCGAGTGGCGGTGGTCGAATTTGATTTGTTGCGAGATCTCTATGCGGTGAACCCTTTTTTAGGACCTATTATACGTCGTCTCGCATCCGGTTCTGTGGATGATTATTTATTATCGGATGGGTTTCTATTTCGTGGAGTGCGCCTTTGCTTGCCTGATTGTAGTCTTCATTTGAAGTTGGTGGCAGAATTTCATGGTGCCGGTCACGTTGGGCGTGATCGCTCAGTTGAGCTAGTACAACGCTCGTATTTCTGTCCCTCTTTGCAGCGAGACGTTTCGCGTTTCGTGGAGCGTTGTCGGATTTGTCAAGTATCGAAAGATGTGGCCATTTACACTGGTCTCCATCGGCCTTTGCAGATTCTTACTCACCCATGGATCGCCATCAGCATGGATTTTGTTTAGGATTGCCTCGGCACGTGGCCACGACTCCATTTTCGTTGTTGTCGACCAGTTTTAAAAAATGGTCCATTTTTATCCCATGTAAGCAGACGACAGATGCTGTTCACGTCGCTCAGTTATTCTTTCGTGAAGTGTACCGTCTTCATGGCCTTCCGTCATATATTATCTCAGGCCGCGACACACGTTTTCTGAGTCATTTTTGGCAGAATTTATGGAGGTTTGCCAACACATGCCTCGATTTTAGTAGTACTTACCACCCACAGATGGACGGCCAGACTGAGGTCGTCAACCGTTCTCTGGGGAACTTACTTCGTTGCTTAATATGTGAGAATAATTTACGAAGATGGGATGCTCGACTTAGCCAAGCAGAATTCGCTCACAACTCAGTTGTTAGTCGGGCCACATGATTCTCATTTTATGCGACTCAACCTCGGGGACCGGCCGACCTTTTATCCTTACCATCTACGGATGCATATGATCATCGAGCGGAAGATTTTATAGCCGACCTACGTCGCACGCATGAATCCGCACGCGCTCGTTTAGAAGACGTTACGACTGCCTACAAGCAACGTGCAGATGCTCGTCGTCGGCATGTGGAATTCGAGGAGGGTAATTATGTCTGGGCGGTGTTAACTAAGGACCGTTTTCCAGCTCATGAGTACAATGTTGTCCGCTCAAAAGGTGGGCCCCGTGGAGATTGTAAAGAAAATTAATCCCAATGCTTATCGTCTTCGTCTGCCGTCGCATATTCGTACGTCTGACGTTTTTAACGTCAAACACCTTGTTCCTTACCGAGGTGAAAATACCGACGACGAGGAGATCGATCTGGATTCGAGGGCGAATCCTTCTCAACCCGGGGAGGCTGATGGCGAAGAGATTGCTTTGGCGTTCATGGACAAATACGAGCGACGTCGAAATCGTGCATGAATCTTGCATGTGATTTGTGACCTTTATTTAGAGGTGGCCAGGTGCCGGTTCCCAGCTCGGCCGGCCGGGCCACGGACCCTCCAACACATGGCCCGCGACCGGACCGCCTAAAAACCAAGGGCCGGTTCACAGTACCGGCCGAACCGCAGGTTCACCGACCCGCCGGTTCACGGGCAAGTACGGCCCTTAAAAAAAAACTTTAACATGGTGACCCGCCGTCCGACCCGGCCCGAACCGACGGGTAAAAAAATAAATAAATAAAGGAACCGAGACCGAACCGCGGCCCTACGGGTCCCGGTTCAACGAACCGGCCCTTCAGAGGCCGGGTTGGGCCGGGCCGGTACCGTTTCGCGGGTCGGGCCACGGGCCGGTTTGGGCCGTGACCATGTCTACCTTTATTATTATTATTATTCTTATTATTATTATTATTATTATTATTATTATTATTATTATTATTATTATCATCATCATCATCATCTTGATTAAGTGATGAAATCTAGAATATGCTTGAAAATCAAAGAGACATTTAAATATAGTTTGTCTTTAAAAACTAAGTATATTTATTAGGAACATCAAGGGGCACAAGAAGATTATCATATATATGAATGTAAGTGCATATGAGAAAGTTGGTTGATATTGAATAAAAATTATATTAGTCTTAAGTTTTATACTCGTTTATCCTTTCGTTTATGCTTCTGTATGCATCCATGTGGTAAATGAAACATACAAGGGGAATAAAAAAGAGTACGCAAGTGTGTTCGTACACCAAAAATAAAAGCGGAAGCAATTAACAAAAATCTCTTTAGAAAGCGTCCCACTACCCTTCAGAGCTCTTTCATTAATAGCTCGATTTGCGTGCACAAAGTACAACTTGGACTTATACGACAAAGAACTCCTTTTTACTCTTGCCAACACTATGCTCGAACCTATTAACTAATCCTCTGACCACAAATGTTTGGACTTCTAACTAGCTAAGGATCACTCCCAGCTATACTAGTACTTAACCCCTAAGTACGAAAAGTGTTTTTAAAATAAGAAAACAAAACATTGCTCTTTAGTGAACTGTTTACAATAAACTCAAAAGCAAATTCCCACAAACACTCAAGAGTAGTCTTCAAGTGTGTTGGACTTTGATAGTTGCAGCAACCTCCAATTAGTATTTGTCTAGATATATGTACAAACTCCTCAAGATAAGGATCTTCATCCTTCCTTCCTTTTGGAGTAGATTTTCTTGTTTATTTAACCTTCGAGAAATGACCAAGATTTTCATAAGTGGAAACCGAGATCTTCATGTCCATTGAACTTTAATCAGCTTCCTCATTCCTTGAATGCGAGATCTCCTACAAGACAAAACGAGCATCCACAATGCTTTGAGTTCAATCAAAAAAAATTGAATGCCACCTCGGAAATAGACTCAGCCTAAAAAAATATGTTCTCCAATGCAAGTGTAAGTGGACTTGGTCTTGCTGATGTGGCAGCAAGAAAAAGAGACCCGGTCTAACCTTAAGTCAATTTTAGACCAAAGTAGAGACCTAGTCTCCTTGCATTGGAGTTGATTTTGTTAATTTTATATATTTTTGTCCATGTCATACAAGACTTAGGTTCATTTACATTCCACATAGACAAAACTAGACTTAAAGCATTGCAGATGCTCTTAGGTCTATTTCCTACATGACATGTGATTTTTTTTCTAAGAGACCCAAAGCATTGTGGGTGCTCTAAGAGCAACTTTAACAACCACACCATGTAAACCTCATTTTAGACTTTCCAACATGCCACATCATCCAAAATCTCTACACACAAACCTCCAATAAGGGCATCCACAACCATTTAAGAGCACCCACAATGCTTTGGGTCTAATTTTACATATGTGACATATAAATAGACTTAAGTCCTAAATGACATGGACAAACTTAAGTAAAAAAAACTCAAAAGCTATTCAATGCAAAAATAAAATACTAGGTCTAGCATACATGACAACCAATAGAAATGCTCTAATATATTTCATTTATTAAAAAAAAAAAAATTAAATGAGGAATAAATGATGAGTGCTTGAGTTTGTACTTGAGTCTAAAATAGGCCCAAGTGTGGACTAGGTCTCTTTTTTTTTATTGCCACATAAGCTAGACTAGGTCCACTTTTAATTGCATTGGGAAACACTTTTTTATAGACTAGGTCTATTTCCTACATGACATGTAATTTTTTTTTTAAGAGACCCAAAGCATTGTGGGTGCTTTGGCTCTCTTTTTGCATACGTGACAAATAAATAGACCTAAGTCCATAATGACATGGATAAACCCAAGCTAAAAAATTCAAAATCTATCCAATGCAAAACAACAAAGTACTAGGTCTAGAATACTAAACAACCAATAAAAATATAGTAATAATAAATGCATACAAAAAAATGTATTTTGCCTATTAAAAAAAAAAGAAAATTGTGAATAATTAATGACTAGGTGGGTTTGCAGTTGGGTCCAAAATAGACCCAAGTGTGGACTTAGTCTATTTTTTCTAGTGCCACATAAGTTAGACTATGTCCACTTTTAATTGCATTGTGAAATATTTTGTAATAGACTAGGTCTATTTCCTACATGGCATGTGATTTTTGTTCTATGAGACCCAAAGCATTGTGGATGCTCTAATCTATAAAAAAATATTTCACAATGCAATTAAAAGTGGACCTAGTCTAACTTATGTGACACTAGAAAAAAGAGACCAAGTCCACACTTGGGTTTATTTTGGACCCAAGTACAAACCCGCCTAGTCATTAATGGTTCACAATTTTTTTTTAATAGGCAAAACAAATTTTTATTGTATCTATTTATTATTACTATATTTTTATTGGTTGTTTAGTATTTTAGACCTAATACATTTTTGTTTTGCATTGGATAGATTTTGGATTTTTTAGCTTGAGTTTATCCATGTCATTATAGATTTAAATCTATTTATTTGTCACATATATAAAAAGAGACCTAAATGATTGTGGCGTTCGTAAGTGTTTAAAACGTTGTAATAATGATGGGCCTTTCTCATGGTACGGGTCACTTGGATGGTGCGTGCTTGTGCGTGCCAACTACTCGCGACTTCCAACCATCGATGGAAATCCAATCGTCTCGTCACCAGCAACAGAAGAAAAAAAAAACACTGACAAAGCAAATCTGTTCATCATTTCTACGAAAAATCTGTCTTGTTTCGTGCTTCCCCTTTTCAGGTAAATATCGTTGTAGCTTGATTGAATCTCCCCACTTTCTTGCTTTAAAAACCTCATAATCTTTTGTGCTATATTGAAATGAAATGCCAATTTCCATGTTGTTTTGAAATCTCTGCGTAACCCTTCATCTCTCTACATATCTTTCAACGAATACTAAAATTGGAAACTTCAGTTTACTGTCTGATTTTTATTTTAGTTGTTTTTGTAAGGCCTTGATCTTCTATGCAGGTATATAGCTGAAATTGAATTTCTTGTGAATTTCATGTTTAAATACCTAAATTTTTGTTGATTATCATTCTTTCTCCTGTGTTCTTCTGGTCTCTGATTGTTGTGGCTTCCTTTGTATGAGTTGTGCGTTTAATTGTACTGTTGTTTTTGGGCATTTATGGGTATAATCTTGGATTCTCACAACTGGGAACACCCGTGCATCGCAGGAATATAATTCGATGAAGGGGTTTGAAGTCGAAGAGTGCAGTCTAAGCAAATACATATAAGTATTTTTAGTCTTCATCTTTGCATTGCTTAGTACAGATTCAAAAGAAGAAAGAAAAAGGCAGGAAGAAACTAGAAATCAAGAAATCGGGATAATGAGTAGGTCCAGAAGTTATTTCCTGTTCAGGGACAACACCGTCAATGAGCCCGGAGGATCTTGCGAAAACCAATCGCCCGGCTGTAGTGATGACGAATTCGCACAGCTTACAAAGGTTAAGTCCGCCCCACACGAGCGCCTGGCCAAGGTGCTGCCCGGAAGGGCCAAATTACCGGTTTCGCCTGTGAATATGCTTGTGGGCAGGGAATGCAATTACAGTGGGAGAGGGAGATTTTCGTTATCCGACTCGTGTCACGTGCTGAGCCGTTACTTGCCCATTCACAGTCCTTCAGTTGTTGATAGGATGAACAGCTGCGCATACGTATCTCAGTTTTCCGACGATGGGTCTCTCTTTGTGGCTGGGTTTCAGGTATTGGGGCAAGCTTTAGTGTTGTGTTTTTGAGACCTGTATGCCTAAGTTGTTGATTTAACATTGGCCCCATTTGTTTTCTGTGCAGGAAAGTCATATCAGAGTATATGATGTCGATATGGGATGGAAAGTGCGTAAAGACATACGTGCAAAGAGCTTGAGGTGGACTATTACCGATACATCTCTTTCACCAGATCGCCGTTTTCTTGTAAGGATGTTATGTGGCTAAATATGCTTGAGAATTTGGATATATTCCACTTGGAGGAAGGATGCAGAGTTTATTGTGTTGGATATAGAATGGGGGTGATGTTTGCTTCGTGCTGGTATTTATATGATTTTCTTTTTATGTTTTTTAAAATTGTGACTTGACAGGTTTATTCCAGTATATCACCTGTCGTCCATATCGTTGATGTTGGATCAGCTACAAAGGAATCTCATGCAAATGTGACGGTAGGATTATACAAATTAGCTGGGTAGAATTATAAGTCTTTGTTATAGTATGTGTTTCGTTCTAACTTTGATGCTAATATGATACTAGCTAATGGGCATCGACTTAGACAATTACATTTTTCTTTTTCTTGTATTGAATGGAAACATTATGGTAGTGTCTTAAACCTGAAAGAGTTAGCCCTTCTGGTACTGGGGCTTCTAATCTACTAGTGGCCAGGGGTTCAGAGTTCAGATTCTTTGGGTTTATGAATTGTAAAGGCAGGCAGTTTATAAGAACATTTAAGAAAAAATATGTCAGTCTTATAAAAAAAAATATATAGTTAACGAATTATACTATCCACAGAAAAGACGGTTAAACAAGGTATTTGAACATTTTCTATGTAGTTTCCATTATTCATGGTATATATAACAGTTGGCCTATTATCTATATCATGTTCGGTCAGTTATGCACTTTCCTGTGTTTAAAATTTGAATACAAGGTGCCACAGTAAGTTTTGCAGAAAAGTTTATCTGGAACCTTCCCTGAGCTTTATATACACAAACTAACAAGTCTCTCAAGTCTTGAGTTTTGTTCGGATGGCTATAGGGTTTCTTTGTTTTAGTAGTCCTCATTTATGATCAAATATATCATTTATTTCAATCAGGAAATTCATGAAGGCCTGGAGTTCTCATCTGATGTTGATGATTATAACAACAGTTATTCTTTTGGCATTTTCTCTGTTAAATTCTCTACTGACGGGCAAGAACTTGTAGCTGCCAGCAGTCGTGGATCAATATATGTCTACGATCTCGAATCAAAAAGATTAAGTCTCAGAATCCCAGCTCATCTGGTACTCCATTTTTCTTATAGTTAGCTTTATGTCTAGTTCCTAAATAAAATATCTTTTGACAAGTAATCATGTAAATTCCAACCCATAGTACTTGTATTTATTGTGAATCTGAAAATATCGGTGACACATATGATTGCTTATCTTGTTGATTAGGCCACTATCTATGGTATTTGTTGCTCAGTTCTTTGTATAGTTTTGAGATTTACGACTTGTTATTGACTCGATTTTATATATTGCAGTCAGATGTCAATGCCGTATGCTTTGCCGACGAGAGTGGCCACATCATATATTCTGGCAGTGATGATCACCTCTGCAAAGTAATCGCTATTTTCCATTCTAGAATATATCAAAGCATGAAGTTTTGCTAGTCTTTTTTACTATGTCGATTTTTTGTTCGGTCAACCAAAAAAAACAAAAAAAAGGGAAAATTAAATTTAGTTAATCAAGTTTGGATGAATGTCTACATGTGTCTCATTAGAGTAGCATACTTGGCTATTAGCAGTATGTATGTATCTGGCGTACAAAAGAGAATTTTTACTTTTGATTGAGACATTGGTGTGAAGAGAAAAACATTTTGATCTAAAGCATTTATACAAGCTATCCCTTTAAGATTAATTATTATATTGTCCCCAAGGTTTTTACAATAGTCAATTTATATTTGAAATAAATTATGTATAATCATCGTTAGACGTGAGGGTAAAGATTTCATGGGAAGTGAAGTATCATTTCACCCACTTACAAATATGTACCTTTTTGGATTAGTGATGTAGGGAAAGCATACGAGTGGGAAGGATAAAACGAGTAAACGAGATACTCTCTCGTAAAACACGTAAAACTCACAAACTCAATCAATTCTTATTTCATATTTAACTAAATAAAACCATAGATGAGGAGTCCCTTAAATAAGGCTCCTACAACACTAATACTAACTTGTCCAACAAGACAAGAATCTTAATAATACTAACTTATCTAACAAGACAAGAATCCTAACAAAGTGATAAATAATAAGTTTCCTAACAAATCTATAATACCACTAATAATAATAATAATAATAATAATAATAATAATAATAATAATAATAATAATAATAATTAAATATTCTAAACATCCTTATCTCCATCATTCTCCCCCTGTCGAAAAGGATTCGTCCTCGAATCCGAAGTAATCTCGTCTTCAACTGCTCCACAATCCCGACCGGGTCAATTTGACGGGTCATGAACTTGGTATACTCACAAGCAAAAAATTTATGGCAGCAACTCTCCACTTTGTCCTTTTGGGACACACTATGCGAGTTATCAGACACATATGCTTGTTGAATAAAATACAATGAAAATCCATCTTCCAATTCACTGAAAACATCAATTCCAGCCACAACCTCTAGCCTCATAGATGATTCTACAACCACATGGTACTCGTCCTTCATCGACGCCACAAGTGGCTCCTCATCAAAAATAGGCAGGCCGTCGTACAATAGGCTGTCATTCTCCTAAAAAACCACACCTTGTTGGCCGTTGTGCGCAACAACGAGCTCAGTCTCGACGGGCGGAGGCGGCCACTCTCCAAAGGGATCCACCTCCAAGATGGTCTCCTCGCCGTCTGCATCGCCGGACGGCGGTTGTGGAGATCGTCGACGGGGCGCCCCGCCTGCACGACCTCCACTTCCTCCGTGAACTCCCCCGCGCACACCCCGGTCGCCGGCGGTACGGTTCATCTGCAAATCCCAGACCACGTTGTTAAGCGTCAAACGCAAATCCTCGATCCCCGTCGAAAGATCTGCAAACCAATTCGTGAAACGCACGTCCAACTCTTCAAATCGGTAGTCAATCTGTTGAAATCGATCGTAGAAGATTGCATCACGTTGTTCGTTTGCGGCATCTTGTCGTCCTGGCGACATCGCGATCGTACTGACTGCTGATACCAACTGATGTAGGGAAAGCATACGAGTGGGAAGGATAAAACGAGTAAACGAGACACTCTCTCGTAAAACACGTAAAACTCACAAACTCAATCAATTCTTATTTCATATTCAATTAAATAAAACCATAGATGAGGAGTCCCTTAAATAAGGCTCCTACAACCCTAATACTAACTTGTCCAACAAGACAAGAATCCTAACAATACTAACTTATCTAACAAGACAAGAATCCTAACAAAGTGATAAATAATAAGTTTTCTAACAAATCTATAATACCACTAATAATAATAATAATAATAATAATAATAATTAAAGATTCTAAACATCCTTATCTCCATCAATTAGTTCAATTTTTTTTCATAAGGGTTAAAAGTACCTGAAATGCAGATACAAATCCCTAACCTATTGCTTCGGCCAGGACCTTAATGTGTTGATGTTTTTCAGGTTTGGGACAGACGTTGCTTTAGGTCTAGCGGTCAAGCTGCTGGAGTTCTAATAGGACACTTAGAAGGAATTACATTCATTGATTCGCGTGGAGATGGCCGTTACTTCATCTCGAATGGAAAAGATCAAGCCTTGAAACTTTGGGATATAAGGAAAATGTCATCTAATGTCAATTAGTACGATCACTGTTCCATTCCTTTTGCTGCTTTTGGGATATAATGTGATGCCTTTTCAATTGATTTATATTATCATAAGTATATAACGTAGTTGGTTATCAGAATGTCAATGTGTTACCAAAGTGATAGCTTGTAATTAAAAACACCCTTCTGACATCAGAATCACATTTTGAGTTTCTTCAGCTGCTAATGCATTACAATTCTCCTTTTTTT